TGGTCTTCGGTCTTTAGTGTTTAATTCATCAAATCTGTTCTTCAGATGATCTCTAAATTCAGGTGGGATAAATTCAAGGTCATATTTTGGCTCTCGTAGACTTGTTTTCATTTACTAGTACTTCTAAAAACAACAAGGTTGTTTTTAAGGTCAAAATAGAATAGTCTGTATCAAATTAAGAATCATTTCCTAAGAAGCCAGATGGTAAGGAACTTAGAATTTCTTCTCTTCTACCTGGTTTTCTGGAGTCTTGGTGTGGTGCTGTGGGCTAATGTGTCAGACTGCAAAGTCTTTTGTAATGGCAAGGTCGGTGGTTCAAGCTCACCATCTTCTCTTTGGAAGCCCTATAAAGGGTTGCTATGAGTTGGAATCAACTCAATGGCATTTAACAACAACCACCAGTTTCTGGGAGCATATGCACATAACAATTTGCCATTCAGAGATAAACCTGACTAAGGTGGAGGGGTAGATAAAGTCAATCAAAAGTTTTCCTCCTGTAAAATGGAAAACTTTACATTTATTTGCAACTAGCTCCAATATTCCAGTGCTAGTATAATAACAAATCTTTACATAATTTAATTAATTTGAAGATGGAGTGAGATAAATATCATTTCAATTATTAATGTTTCATTTCCTTATACTAATACCTGAAGCTCTTCCTTTTTTTTAATAGAACAAGTTCTTATATGGATTAATGAAAGGATTTTTTAAAAATTAAAGACACCAATGAAAAGTATATTTTTTAAAAAGTAAGATTAAAAAGAATGTTTTATAATACTCAATAAAATTTTCAATTATCGATGTTTGTATTAACAGAGAATCAAATGATCTTTTCATTAAAAATCATGGTAAATCACATAACTGACTCCTTAATGGTATAAGAAAATTTCATGGAGACAAAGGCAAAAACTGAATTATATATAGTTTTGAAGTTATAACAAAAACCAAGAAAATGTAAATGATAAAACCTCAAGGTCTCATCATTTGTAAATATTACTGGTTCACCTAAAAGAAACCCATCATTTCGTCTCACACCAGTCACCAAGCTAAGAAATTAGATGATTTTTTTTTTTTTTTTGGTCTAGAGCCAAACACTTGCAATTTCAATTAAATAGAAATTTAGTGTGCTTAAAATAAAACATTAATAAGGGTAATCTACATTTCAGAGGCAAATTAGATTGTGTTGGTTAAACTTTTCTCAGCAACCTTTGGTAAAAAACAGGAACCTGATGACAGTCAGCCAAGTTCAGCAGTATTATGATTGCTGCAGCATAATGGAGGAGAAAAGAGAGCGAAAAAGAGAGGTAGACAAGATTTGGGGGAGTTAGAAATCAAGTACAGTGAGAAGGGACTGGTTGGCTCTGTGACCCAGAGTCCATCTACCACTTCCACAATGGGAACAGTTATTAATAGCCACACTATCAACTGCAGAGGCTTATATGAAAACATGCAAGCATGGATAAATAAGAGACCTAATCAATCCATCTTCACTTTTTTTCCCCATGGCACAAAAAGGAGAAACCTAGAACCAAAGTTGAGAGTTACTGAGATAGAGTGATGATTATCATACTGGTACCATGGTCTCCTGATCTGTGAAGACACAGCTTTTACCTTGCAGCAAGTAGCGAACGTTGCCAACCAAATAATACACCCATGCTGGGAATCACCTTGGTAGCCAAGATTTGTGATGCTAAACCCCAAGTCTACTAAATGAGGTGCAACCCAGGCATCAGTAGTTTTAAAGTTACACAGTGACTGCATATAGTATCTGAAGGGCACACTAAGCACTGTCATTGCAGACAATCTTATCAGGTGTGCACATTTCCTAGCAACACTGTCTGGAGATCACTGTACTGCACAAGTGTCTCCGCCTACAAGTTCAGTATCCATTGGAGATAAGTTACTGTCACTAAGAAACCAAAGCACAGTCTACTCACCAAACAAACTGCTTGAATGGCCTTCTTTTGATATAGGTTTCAGTTCATTTAATCCCCAAGCATAACGTTTATAATTATACCAAGCATGTTTCATCATCTGAGGAAAGAAATGAAAACAAGAGATAATTTAAATTTGATACATTTTTGCTATAACACAGATCACATACTTAAGACCTGAAAGTTAAAACATATTGAAATTCATTGCCTAGTTAAAAGAAAGATGGTTAATTAAAACTGTGATGATGATGCCAATAAATTAGAACACATACAGGGGCACACAAGTCACTCTTTGATGTTTACAAATGTGAAATTTTTTTTTTTAATTCATTTAATTCTGTTTCATGTAAATATTTCCAAAATACATTTCCCAACAACAGAAATTTAGCTTATCCTAAAAGAATGTGTCATTCTTGCATTTATTATTTCATTCATATTACAATATATCAAAGACTCTATTTACAACTTGTATTTTTCATAAAGTTCTTCATACATTATTGATTACATAGAATATAAACTATTAAAGGTTATCATCTTAAATATTCTAATGTATAGTAATAAAATATATAGGGAGAAGTATTTTGAAATATCTATAAGAAATAAAAAATGAAATAATGGTTATATCTAGATTTTAAGATTTTAATATAATCAATCTTCAACTGTATGTGTGTATGCATATATGTGGTACCTTGAATTTATTTGATATGGCTGTTCTATCCAAAGTCTTCTTAATTCCCACCAAGTGATTGGGTGGGAACATGCAAACAAGGTATAGAGGACTCTAAGACTGTAATTGGTTAGTTTTGCCATCCATCTAGATTTAAAAGGAACCATCTCAGAAGTAGGAACAGATGATCCCAGGACTATCAAGAAGGAAGAGCATAAGAGCCCTACCCAGAATAGTGGCAACAACAGAGGCAGTGGCATCAAGAGACAGAGTAGCTGTGGGCTCTAGACCCATGGACTGAGTAAAGTTGAGTACCTATGAGCAAGAGACTGGCTTGCAAAATGTGCCCTTTGGTTATTCACATACTGCCTAAAAGAGTTTTACAACACTTGCCGGGTCAAGGGACCATATGGCTGAGAGCCTAAAGACAAGAGTGAGGCGTGCCTGCAGTATAGCAGACAAGAGGAGTGCCTGACTGGAGAATTGTTACATCTTGAGTTTTCTGATCCTGAATTGTACCCTGTTCACTTGCCTAATAAACCCCAAAATCATGAGTATTATTAGGAGTTCTGTGTGGACATTGTAATGGATTATCAAACCCAGACGAGAGTGTTTTAGGAGACAAGGTGGTGTCACAGAATAAAGAAGGTTGTAGGGTAGACATGTCTGACCTCTACTTCATAGGAATCAGCCTTGAGCTGATTTTGAGCATGATTCCCTTTCTCCTTGTGAAGTCAGATATGGCTCCCACATGGTTTTTGCAATATGGTGTGTGAAGTCTGATCATGTGTATTCCTAATCTAGAGTCCTTATACGAGCAACGTTTTAAGGTCAAATTCTCAGTCATAATAGGTAACATAATTTTCTTCAGCAACTCAAAAAACATGCTATTTGTATTTACATTTTTAAAAAGGGTTGGGAAGTCTCAATTATTTAGAATTTACTCATGACACTAGCCCCACTCTACTAGTAACTATAGTTAAAATATGAGCAAAGTCTGAAAATGGTCTAATCTGATTCCCTATTTTAAAATATCTTTAAATGGCATAACAAAGTTATAAATACAATGATGGAGTATCACTAAAGTCTTCAGTGAGTTTAAGAAACTTCAGTGCTATTAATAAGAAAGTCTTTATATGTCTCTGAACACAGTAATGAATCTCTGTCTTCGGCCAATTTATATATTATCTTCTGGTACACTACTATTATTACTATTAATAAGAACTACCAAGACCCTTTAGGATCTGTTAAATCCTCTACATAAGTATTGTACTCAGTCCTCATTTCAATATTACCATCATTTTGTATTATAAAGAAATTGAAGCTTAGAAGTTAAAAACAAACAGATAAGAGTGACTCAAAGTCATGAAGTTTCTCTGTGACAGATGAGCCAGGGTTTATTCTCATATTGGTCTCATGCCAAAGCCCATGGTACTCACCTTCCTTTAATTAGTCATCAACAGAGCCTGCTTTTAATAAATTAGATTGTTGATCTTCCAACAATCAACACAAAGTGCATAGTTGTTTTCAAGACTTTCTCCTTACAAACAACTTAACTGTAAAGCATAATAGGTTTGAAGTTTAGATGACCTAATTTACAAGATTTACTCTGCTAATGATTAATCACAGAATCATGGGTGAGCCAGGTTTTGTTGTTAATGTTGTCTTTTTTTTGGGGGGGGGGGTGTCTCTCTTTATCTGAAAAAACTGTGATAATTTCTTTTAGAGTACATGTACAAATGTTCATGTGATTACACTCAGCATATTGCTTGGCACATGGCAGATACTCACATGTCTACTGAATTTGAAACCAATTAAATTAACATCACAAAAATATAAACCAATAAGCCTCTGAAAGACCAGACATGTGAGATAAAAAAAAAACCAACACAACACAAAACAATGAAAAACTATTCTGAGATAATGTTGCTGTTGTTGTTAGGTGTCATTGAATTGGTACTGACTCATAGCAGCCCTGTGTACAACAGAACTAAACACTGCCTGGTCCTGAGACAACCTCACAAACATTGCCACACTTGAGACCATTGCTACTGCCACTGAGTCAATCTATCTGATTGGTGGTCTTCCACTTTTTCTCCATTTTACCAAGCATGATGTCCTTCTCCGGGGACAGTCTCTCCTGATAATATAATATGTCTGAAGTATGAAAGACGAAGTCTGGCCATCCTGGCTGCATTCTGGCTGTACTTCTTCCAACACAGATTGGTTTGTTCTTTTGGCAGTCCATGATACTTTTAATATTCTCCTCTAACACTATAATTCAAGTGCATCAATTCTTTTATGGTCTTCTGAGTTTTATTTGGTTTTCCTATTAAATGTATTACATTTGATAAACTTTTCATATCTATGTATTTCCAAAAATATTTTATGAATTCAAAAGTTCTGGAATACACTTGATGTAACAGAAACCAAAATGTTATGATTTATTTCAGTTCCAATTCTGAATGAAAATTAGTGTCCTTGTTTATTAACAACCCAAAGATGGCATAAAGCTGTCCAATAGAAGACTGTATTGCTTTTCAAAACAATTCATTTACATATTGTAAGAAGTAATGCTTTTTTAGATCTTTCATTCCTTAAGTCTTACTTCTTACTGACTTTAGTTACAAATAAATTTATTTGATTAGCACTTTATTCTCAGTTGGCACCAGAGGGGAAGGCTAGAATTCTACCACTGAATGACCAAAGCCAGGGATGAGTAGTCTGGTAACATCAATTACTGAGGGCCTGCTACACCATGAATAATATGACTAAACGACTAAAAAGGATGCAAACAGGACTCAATCATACTTACAGTCTAACAGATGATGTATGGACCTTTAACATTCACTCTTCTTACACACTCAATACACGTTTAGAAATATAGAAGAAAAATGACATGTTTAGATATAGAAGAAAAATTCACATTCTGTTAATTAAATGTTGTGCACAACTTAATTATTGCACCTAACATTGTGCTTTAAAATTTTTGTCTTGGACTAATCAAAGGCATTGGTGGTGGTGATGGTAATGTGCCGTGGAGTCAGTTCTGACCCATATATAAACCCTGTATAGGGTTTCTGAGGCCGTAAATCTTTATGGGAGCAGACAGTCTCATCTTTCTCCTACAGAATGGCTGGTCGTTTCAAACTGCTGCCCTTGAGGTTAGCAGCCCAACTCATAACCACTATGCCACCAGAGCTCCTTAATCAAGGGCATCAGAAGCCACTGATGAAGGATTGTATTCTCGAATTTCCCCAGTAATGCCTCAATTTCATAGCTTACTCTTTCATTGTTAGGAACTATCCTGGTGTTGTGCTGTAGGATAAACAATGAACTGCTAATTACAAGGTCAGTGGTTCAAATCCACCAGCCAGTCTCAGAACTCTTATACAGGGTCATTACGAGTCAGAACTGACTCTATGGCACACAACAACAACCCTTCACAAATATTTCCTTTGCTGAAGCTTTAATCATATGTTGTGGCTGTTTCATAATGTCGAGTTGGTTCTGATTCACAGAGACCTGGTGTGTTTGAACCACTGACCTTCTGATGAACAGTCCAGTGCTTATCATACAGTGCAACAGCAGTAGGATTCCTTTAATCATATGATCTTTAATTATCTATAATGGCCTGGACAGGGGCCCTCGTGTGTCCAACAGGAGTCCATAGTCTTGGGCACCTCGTTGGGTCTGACATGGTGCAACACTGAAGGAGACCTGGTGGCATAGTGGGTTACATGCTGGGCTGCTAGCCACAAGGTCATCAGTTTGACTCTACCAGTCACTCGCTGGGAGAAAGATAAGGCTTTCTGCTTCTGTAAAGATTTATAGCCTTGGAAATCCTATACAGGCTGACTGGGTCAGAACTGACTCCGTGGAACACAACCACAGTAAAAAACAAAAACAAAAACAAAAACAAAAATTTTAGAATTCTGCTAACCACTTTTGCCAGATCTTAGTAGTTCAATTTATATACTCTTTTAAGAGATACAACATAAGTTTCATGGTTTATACAATGTGACTTTGACCTTTTAGGCCCCAGGTGATCAATGGAATGAAAGGCCTACAGCTGAAGGGTGACCATGCTGTCTAAGGTGAGGCACCCAAGTATAAGGGCTCCGTCCACTAGATGGAACAGACCAATCCAATCGTCTACTCTACCTGTAGTGTGCTGTTGACTTGACTCACAGAGATCCTATAACACATAGTAGAACTGTACCATAAGGTTTTTCAAGGCTGTAATATTGATGGTGTTGGAAGAGAATATTAAAAGTACCATGGACTGCCAAATGAACAAACAGATTTGTATTGGAAGAAGTGCAACCAGAATGCTCCTTAGACACCAGGACTGCCAAACTTTTTCTCTCATACTTTGGACATATCAGGAGGGATCAGTCCCTGAAGGGTATCATGCTTGGTAAAGTGGAGGA